ATATTTTATTTGTTATTTCAGTAATTAATCTCTGTACGGGTTTGGTAGATTCTCACAACCACCATAAAAAATTGAACACAAATTATAACACGAAAACATAAATGTTTAGACTAAATAGCTTCCATCTCAAAACATTATACATTTATATATATTTATTATATTGACCTTTTAGCCATGCTTGGCTAACAATACAGAAGTTACAATAATGTGGCTCACATGCACTCATGTTTCCGTATCAAATAACATAAAACTGACCTTTGGTCTGTACAAAGTATCTTGTCTTGGCTGTGTTTTAGTAGACTAGAACTTTGTAAAATACAGTCACATTTCAATTATTATACATTATTGCTAGTTTGAAATAAGTTCTAAAAGTTATTTTTTCCTAAAACATAGAACAGTAAATAAAGAAGAAAACAATTATCTCTTCTAGTTACAACCTTTGTACTCAGTTGCTGCTTGACGTAGGTTGCTAAGCCTTTAAACATTTTGCACGTGGAGGATAAGAAACAAAATATTTTTTTAAGGTTTTATATATATACATTTGAATAACTAAAAAGTCATAAATTACTACATCCATACTATATAATTCTACGATAATTTATCAAGCTTAGTAACTGGCTTTGGTAAAAAAAAATAAATGAAATTTCGAGCAGACTAAAAACACAACCTATCTCATTGAAAACTTCGTTCAAAAAGAAGAAATGGCGGAAGGAATGTTAGAAAGGCTGAGAAAACCACTAGGGGGACATTCTGAGCTTCTGATTGGTTATTCATGTGATATATAGAAGTAAGTGTATATAAGGAAGCGTTTCCAAAAATGGAAAGAAGTTGGTGGGGTACCACTGTGTTTGATTTATTACACGAGCAATATCTTAGCAAATTGAGAAGATAAGAGGCTCTTATTTTATATTTTAGCTTGTCAGTATTGGTAATTTGAGTTTCTAATTTGTTCGAAACTATAGATTTAGTATTTTGACTTCACAAACATCTAATTTGAACCAGTGCTGCATTCAACATACCACGTGACACCCAAAAATCGATGTTTATCTGTTTTTTTTTAATATTTACTTTTAAATTAAGAAATTGAATAATGTATAGTACTAAGATTTGAATTATAATCTA